CCTGAACCTTCTAATCTCTAACGAATTCTCTGCATAATATTTACACACAAATTGTCCTCAGACACATCTGCCTCCAGCCTCCTAGCTGCAACATCACAACCCATGCTTCATACCTTCATAAGTGTTTTTTTTACTACATATACATTTTCTTTTTTGCCTCCATGGAAGATGGTGCCTCCACAGATGCCTCATTATTCATGTTTTTCTATTCATCAATTCTGTGGTTCACCTCGTCTTTCATAGACCCATCTGCTGACAAGCCCACTTCCAAATATCTGAACACGTTCATTCCAGTTTGATAACCAATCTTTCATTACCTAAATTTTTTGGTTGCCAACATTACTTTGTTCTTTTCTATATTCACTCTTAATTTCCTTCGTTTATGTACCCTCCTAAATTTGTAACTTCTCTACAGAATCTCTCGGAAAAAATGTTAATAGTTAGTTATGATTTTCAGATGGAGTAAGTATAAAGAATGGCCGGGAAGGTGTTCACCTTACACTATCTCGGGAAGGCAGACCTAGTGGTGAAGCATATGTAGAAGTTTCCACTGAAGAGGATGTAGCCCTAGCTGAAAAAAAACACAACCAACACATGGGCCGAAGATACATTGAAGGTGAGATTTTCTTTAATGTGAGACTACTCATTAGCCAATTGTCACATAAACAGCTCTATACAATATTTATGATGGGGAGAGCAAGAAGGCATTGGATACTAAAGAATAGAGGATCTGGTGTAATTGAATTGTTGGTAGCTTTTAAAAGTGTAATTTCGCAAGAAATTGAAGTAAGAGGTATTTGGAACTAGTCTAAACTCGACAAAACTGGTCTACACTTTCTTGGGATTAGTACTGTTATGTACACTGCATTAATGCTGACTATTAATGTTCTTTGTGTTTAAATAATCTTTCACTTGTGTATTATATAAATTACTGGAAGAGGATTTGTGCCAAGTAATTTATGCAAAGTTAGCTCATGAAATAGGAATTATAGGTTGCTAATGTAACTTCATAAAATTGTTTTGCTGATAGAAGAAAACTTTTTGCTTTCCAGTATTTAAAGCTAAAAAGTCAGAAATGGAGTGGGTTGTTAAAAGGGCTGGATTTGGAGCATCTGGTGGTGAAGATGATGGCTGTGTTCGACTTCGTGGTTTACCATTTGGGTGCTCAAAAGAAGAGATTGCACAGTTCTTTTCTGGTAAGTATTCTGGGTATATTTAATTTTTTAAAAATAAAGTGCATTATTATGAGATCTTGAGATATGATTTTTATAATTTTGTTTCATACTTGGGCCAGTATGAGTTAGATTAAAAGTAATGGTTGAAAAGTTGTAGTGTAGGACAGACTGCAGTGAATATAGGGTTGGGTATCTTGTTAAAGGGCTCGGAATATAAAGCTGATATTATCTGGGGATTTGGTGACAAAACTATACAGTACTGTACTAATTGCAAATAGTTTATACTGTGAAGCAAGAATAGCTAATTAAGTCCAAGGCACTGACATATATGAAGGGCAAGAAATTTTGTGCATAGACACCAGTTATTACTGATATTTAAAGACTTTGATTTTTTTTTTTACTTTGACCATAGAAGAATTTGCTATTAAAAAATTAGGGTTTAGAAAAAAAAAATGCTTAATTAAGACTGACTATGAGAATCTGGTCTTTCAACTAGGTTCTTTACATCTATGGTATGGGTTCTCTTCAGTATTCAGGAGAATTTAACTAATTTTGAAAGTAGATGTAGATAATGCAAAGTTAGTTAGGAGGCATTCTCTGCAGCTCAATAATAGAAGTAATTAACTTCAATCATAAACATAGCTGTTACTGTTTCATTCTGGTTCTCAAGTGAATATTTATGTAAGTCCAATAATAAAAGCCATTTTTTTCTAAACATTATTCTCTTTCAATGTCGCTGGGTAGGGTTGGAGATAGTTCCGAACGGGATAGCTCTGCCTACCGACTACCAGGGGCGGCATACGGGGGAGGCATACGTTCAATTTATAAACAAAGAGGTCGCTGAAAAGTCCCTTGAGAAGCATAAGGAAAAAATAGCGCACAGGTGGGAAGGCAACACTGCAAAGGAATGGTGTTGCATTCAGGTTACAAGTACATACAGGATGTGGGGAGGTTTGTGGTCAAGTTTCATTGTTGGTAATATGCTTCCTGATTGTCATCATGCCTATTGAAATGTGACACTTCTAGTGATGTTTGTCATATCAAGAATTTCTTGACACTGGCAGACATTGCAAGTGCAGGTAAATGTTTGATAATAGTTAAATGAAATTTGAAGCAAATCTTCCCTATATCACCTGGAAGGGGCATAGCTGGCTAATGGTGGAGAGGCAGGGGGGAGGATTGGGAGGGTGTTACTTCCCAGGATGTTTTCCTTGCATTTACTGGCTCGGGTTTAGGGCCTTATCAAATTGGAAATAACAGGCTTGCATGAATTATAAAACTTGGAATATCAATAAAGGCAAGGAATATCCAGTGTCCCCTTGGAGAATGGTACCCATTTTATTAAATTTTTAAAAATATTATAAAATAAAGGAATTGAAGTTCATAAAAAATTCAAACAGCTGTATAAAAGGGTAACATTCTCTTATCCCAGAAACCAAACCCCAGTTTACTTAAGATGCTGAATAAGGGAGGACCGTTAAGGGTAGGAAATGGTGCAGTTTCACATCCCAAGCAGTACTCCCGAAAACAGCCATTAGTGGGTAAGGGTCTGTCGTATTTTAGTTTAATTACTAATGGGACTTCCAGTATTCTTTCACTTTTCTGTTTTGTCAGTGCATGAAGGTAAGGAAACCTTAACAGTACCTTTGTAATGCTCCATGAATATGGATTTTTTCTGACTTTTTAGTAGAAGTTTGCTGAAGGAAGTCCCAAGATATTCTTGAGCTTGACTGTATGTTAGTTATAAGAAAAGTCAAGAAGGGTACTTCAAGGTGAAGATGGCAGCAGAGACAAGCAGTGAACCCCTGGTGGGCGGGAGGGCATGCGGTGAGTCAGGTAGGCAGAGGAGGCTGGCTGGTGGGCAGTCGGGCGGTGGGCCTGGGCTGAAGCTGGTGGGCCGGGCTGTTGGGCTGGCCGGGAAGGAGCGGGTGGAGACACTGGGCCGGGACACGGGCACGGGCTGGTGGGGCCGGGCCTGGGACTCGGACTATCCACACTGTCGGTAACAGCTACAAACTTTTTAAGATTGTGAAATTTATATATAAATAACTATTTACTTGATATTTTAAAATTTCTTCATGAATAGAAATAGTTTATGGTGTACAAAGTATTAACCTAGGATTGACACAGCAGTGCTGATGGAATATGGTGTGTTGTCAGTAGAACAAAGACAATATTGTAATAATAAGCTGAAAGTGAATTTGAACCAAACTCATAATAGATATTTGCTACTACTGTATATGCAGAGGTACATTCTGCTATGGCAAATGGTTTGTTTTGGCAGATACTCAGCACACAGATGCAGTCTACTGATGTGTAATTTCCTTGCAAATATTTTTTTTTTTTTTTTGGCAATTATGTTAGAACACCATAGTATCATATAAGATTTTATATTTGGTCTAAACTTAAAAATGCCTTTGTTTTATGTATCAGACAAAACACCTTAGTTGATAATTGAAAATCTAAAATTAAATGCTTTTTCATCAGAATTTGCTTAAAATTAACTTGTTGCTTTAGTTTTTCATGAAGTGAATCCAAGTCGAGTTGCCCTAAAAAGTTTCACTGTGAGCTCATTTCTATATTACCCAACAGATACATAGAGATCTTCCGTAGCAACCTAGGAGAAGTTCGTGCTGCCATGAGTCCAAAACTGCGTGGACCAGGTGGTCCCATGGGAGGGTACAACAATAGGCCCACACCATACGATTCACGGGATCGATTTGGAGGCTTGAATCGCTACAGTTTGGGAGGCCGTGGCCGAACTCGTAAGTTTACATTATTGTGAAGTAATATTAATATTTTCAAAAGTTTGCATATGCTGTATATTTACTTGAAATTTAAACATTTATGAGTTGAGCACTTCATTAGTAATGTGTTGTAGATTTTGCCTCTGAAGGTGGTTACAACGATTATGACGATGGCCCCGGCTGGGGTGGCTCTGGTGGCTACAATGATGGGCCAAGCAGCTGGCTCAGTAGCCGTGGACGGGGTGGTGGTCCAGGTGGTCTAAAGGTAATCAATCCAAAAGACTTTCCATATATATGATGACATTGATTATGTACTATTAGTATGTAATATGTTTGGTATTTCTATTAAATTTTTATAAATTTTCTGAAATTCTCTTCAAGGGTAACTTTGGTGGTGGTCGTGGAGGAAGTTGGAACAATGGAACAGGACATTGTGTTCACATGCGGGGTCTTCCGTTCCGGGCAACAGAGATGGATATAGCAGATGTAAGCTACATATATGTTTATAATTTTTGTAAAAATAGTTCTTGCTGCTCTGCATCTTTGCTATTTCCTTTTTTCCTCTAGATATGAAAAATGGGTTACAGTAAGTATGAAATATGTTTGGTATTTCTATTAAAGTTTGTGCTCCTGGAGAAGAGTACTGTAGAGAGAGACAGATTTTGGGAAATGTTGAGCGAGTGCATGAGGAGTTTGGAACCAAGTGAGAGAGTACATGTGGTTGGGGATCTCACTGCTAAAGTGGATAAAAATGTTGTAGAGGGAGTAGTAGGTAAATTTGGGGTGCCACGGGTAAATGAAAATGGGGAGCCTTTAAATGAAGTGTGTAGAAAGAGGTTTAGTAATAAGTAATACATATTTTATGAAAAAGAGGATAAGTAAGTATACAAGATGTGATACAGCATGTAATGAAAGTAATTTGATTATGTATTGGTGGATAAAAAGGTTGATGGGTATCTGGAGTTTCTGGAGAGAGTTCCGGGGGTCAACGCCCCCGCGGCCCGGTCTGTGACCAGGCCTCCTTAGGTCAGTGTCCCAGGATGCGACCCACACCAGTCGACTAACACCCAGGTACCCATTTTACTGATGGGGAACATAGACAACAGGTGGAAAGAAACACGTCCAATGTTTCTACTCTGGCTGGGAATCGAACCCAGGCCCTCACCGTGTGAAGTGAGAGCGTTAACCACCAGGCCTCACAATTTTTTTTTTTTTTAACAAGTCCGCCATGTCCCACCTCACTCTCACATAATCACTGTTTTTGCAGAGGTGCTCAGAATACAACAGTCTAGAAGCATATATGTATAAAGATGCACAACACATCTCTCCAAACTGCCAATATCCCAAACCCCTCCTTTAAAGTGCAGGCATTGTACTTCCCATTTCCAGGACTCAAGTCCAGCTGTATAAAAATCACCGGTTTCCCTGAATCCCTTCACTAAATATTACCCTACTCGCACTCATACAGCTCGTCAGGTCCCAAATACCATTCGTCTCCATTCACTCCTATCTAACACGCTCGTGCACGCTTGCTGGAAGTCCAAGCCCCTCGCCCACAAAACCACCTTTACCCCGGAGGACGACCCCTACTCCGCCTTCCTTCCCTTACAGATTTATATGCTCTACATGTTATTCTACTTTGATCCATTCTCTCTAAATGACCAAACCACCTCAACAACCCCTCTTCAGCCCTCTTGACTAATACTTTTAATAACTCCACACCTAATTTCTGCATAATATTTTCACCACACATTGCCCTTAGACAAGACATCTCCACTGCCTCCAACCGTCTCCTCGCTGCAGCATTTACAGCCCAAGCTTCACACCCATATAAGAGTGTTGGTACCACTATGCTTTCATACATTCCCTTCTTTGCTTCCGTAGATAACGTTTTTTGTGTCCTCGTATACCTCAATGCACCACTCGCCTTTTTTCTTTCATCGATTCTGTGATTAACCTCATCCTTCATAAATCCATCTGCTGACACGTCAACTCCCAAATATCTGAAAACATCACTTCTTCCATACTCCTCTCCAATTTGATATCAAGTTTTTCTTTATCTAAATCATTTGATACCCTCATCACCAATATTTCATTCAGCTATGTCTTGAACCTGCATGAACTATCCCTGTAGAGAGTGAGCATTTCACCCTTCCATGGAAGTTTTATACATATATATCTGAAAGCTCCTCCTACACATCAGTTATCCCTTCCTTAACCCTTAAATGGTCCAAACGTATATATACATTTTTTCAACATCTGAAAGTATGTAAAAAAATGTAGATCTTTTTTGCTTTACATTTGAAAACATGTAAAAAAAAAACTTACCTACATTTTTTTTTTGTTATATTTGAAAATATGTAAAAAAAAGTAGATCTACTTTTGTAGCACTACGAATTTGAACGTCAATCTCTTTGGACCGTTTAAGGGTTAAATCACTTGCAAAGGCATTTACTCGATAAATTTCTTACTTAACTGCTTGTAATAATGAATCACAACTGGCAGGGCTGCATCTGCTCTTGTTGCCACTTCTAGATAAGAACTAGCAACTCTAATGTGCTAGGCATAAGAATTTAACAACTGGGCTTCTTAATTACAAACTGACCTTTCTTTCCCTATCCTAATGGCTCTAAGGTTAACTTACGACACTGAGTTTCTTTTTGATTTACTGATTTTGTCATCATGGAGGGCACTTGACTTGCATAACTATAACATTTTTCAGTGGAGAAACCAGTTATTGATACTCAGAAATCAGATAAAAGCAGGCTTATACAGTTTTTATGGATTCCATTGCATATTGAATTACTTCATGGTAAAGTTGATAAGCAGAATATAATTTTGGTTTACCTGTATAGAGATAACATTAGGAATACTGTTATGAAGGATGTAAATAAAAGTGAATATCATAGGAATGCTTCTAACTGCAGCTCTATCACTGATCACATGAATGTAAATAACCATATTTATAGAGCAACTTGTAGCTCTGGCAGTTTGGCAGATGCACCACAAGCTGCTGATGACGCAAGTTTATACGAACTGGGAAAATGCCGTGTGCTATTATGCCAGCATTCAAGGGCCTCTAAAATGGTCCTAATTGGCCTGGTTAGGCCTACATCAGAGAAAAGAGGTGTGGGCTGATAGTGTGTGGAAAAGAGAGAGAGAGAAAGAAAAATCTTTGTGGAGGGCATTGTTTGAACTAGAAGATACCATTTCCTTAGTACAGTGGCACCTCGAATTTCGAACAGCTCCCAACTCAAACAATTATGTAAGTGTATTTTTGTAAGTGCTTTTTGTGAGTTCATTTTTTTGGGGTCGGAAATGTACTTATCTAATTTACATTAATCTTTATGGGAACAAATTCGTTCGGTAATGGCACTTGAACAGCCTTCTGGAATGAATTTCGGCCAATATTCGAGGTACCACTGTTATTATACAATAAATAGAAGTAAAGGAAGGAAGGAAGTTGAAAGTGAACATAGATAAGAGTAAGGTGATCAGTGCATCAAATGAGTTAGGTAGTGAAAAATTGGATATCAGATTGGAGAGAGGGAGTATGGAAGACGTGAATGTGTTCAGGTATCTGGGAGTGGATGTGTCAGCAGAGGGGTCTGTGAAAGACGAGGTTAACCATGGGAATGATGAAGGGAAAGAGGTGTGGTGGTTCGTTGAGGTATCTGCAGAGACAGAACGTTAGCCATGGAGGCAAAGAGGGGGAGTGTATGAGTGTATATTGGTGCTAACATGCTTTGAGTGTGAAGCACGGGTTGTGAATGTTGCGCGAGGAGGCTGGAGGCAGTGGAGATGTCATGTCTGAGGGTAATGTGTGGCATAATTTTTATGCAGAGAGTTTGGAGATTAGTAGGAGGTGTGGAGTTAATAAAAGTATTATCCAGAGGGGGGAAGGGTTGAGGTGGTTTGGCCATTTAGAGAGGATGGAACAAAATAGGATGACTTGGAGGGTGTATAAATCTTGTGGAAGGAAAGTGGGGTAGGGGTTTTACGAGAGGATGGAAAGGGGGGTTGGTAAAGGAGGTTTTGTCTGCAAGGGGCTTGGACAAACAAGTAGCATGTATGAGCAGGTTAGATAGGAGTGATTGGAAATGGATGGTTTTTGGGACTTGATGAACAGTTGGGAAGTAGTGTCTGCACTCTAAAGGAGGGGTTTGAGGTATTTTTGTTTGTAATTTATTAAAAGTGTCCAAGGAGAGGATGTTTGTCAATTTTTTCTTTGCATTAAGACTTTTTATGAGTATCCTTTTTTCAGAATGTAGTTTCCATCTCCTTTATATTCAAATTTTTCTTAATTTCCAGTATTCATTCTGTAGGTATTAGCTTTAATATTTGTCTTATGCAATATGTTCCCTAGTGCAAATTTTAATTTTATTTTTCTGCATTAGTTCTTCAGACCTCTAAATCCTGTCAACATTAACATCATCATGGACAGCTCCAATCGTCCTTCTGGTGAGGCAGACATTGAATTTGCTACACACGATGATGCTGTAAAAGCCATGTCTAAGGTATGTGCCTATTGTTTATTGCAGCCTGACTTAATCTTGATAATGGATTGTTGGCCCATTTTAATTCAAGTCCCTTAACAATGCTGGGTTACCTAGTTCAGTGGCTGAGTTTGTGTGGCCTGAATTCTACAGTAAGGATCAGTAACCTTATTTTTTTTTGTCCTGTATAGTGGAGCAATTTCCTCCCTTGCAAAATTTGCAATGACCTATGATTTTTAATGAATATTTAATATTTTTCTGTATCATATTGTGTTTTTTAATTGAAAATTAGTAATGATGGTAAGCTAAAGGCATAGAATACCCAAATGGTTCTGTTTTGTAAATTAAATTGCACAGCTATTTGATATCCCTTTAATATACACATGTTCTCTTTACAGGATAAAGCAAACATGCAACACCGTTACATCGAGCTCTTCCTGAACTCCACCCCAGGTGGAAATATGGGTGGACCTGGAGGGCCCATGGGAGGCCCAGTGGGTCCTATGGGTGGACCAGGCTCTGGTAACTTTGGAGGTGGCGGAAACTTCAGCGGAGGCAGCATGGGCGGCGGGTTTGGTGGGGGCTATGGGGGGGGCGGCCGAATGGGGGGAGGTAGGTACGTCGCATTCGCACTATTTACCGTAAGTAGGGGAACAGGGGCATCTTTATGCACCAATGGATTTTTGAGAGCTAGGCTATTCAAAGGATTTAAAGGGTGATAGTTTTTTCTTAATTTTTTTGTTTCTTCTCATATATGCTTTATTAGGACTTTATGCAATTTAGGAAAAGTTTACTCATTGCAATTGTGGTTTAAGTTCAGGGGAGCAGTTAGAATTTAATTATAGTTTATTTATATCATTGGTTTAATTGTTCGGAGCTGTAACCTATATTTGTACAATGTTTTAATTTGAAGTGCCTTTTCTGAAATTTGCTTTAGCAGTTTGTGTAAATATATTTAAAGAATCAGGGAATGTTTGATAAGTGTTTTGGGTGAGGAGGGGGGAAAAGTACTTAATGCTAGCCAACATTGGTTCAAATTTGTGAAGTTTGTGTACAGGTCTCCCTCCACATTTGCGAGGGTTAGTGGATCAAGAACCTTGCGATTGTTGAAAAGTTGTGAATGTTTGCTGCACAAATGTGTTGTAGGGAAATATAATAATAGCATTTACTTAGAATAACAATACTGCATCCTTAACCTATTGAACCATGAACAATCATAAAACGCTCAAAAACATCGTAAAATATTATACTAGTGCCAGCCCTTTGGTAAAGGTGAGAAAAACTATAGAATTCAAGAAAGAACTCTTAGCAGAGTAACAAAGTGGAGGAAGAGAGAGGGGGGAGTGTGCTTTCTTCAGTGATTCTACAATATGTACGATACTACAGCAGCACGAGTCCATAAAGGCTATAGCGCCAGCCAGCGATAAAGTGGAGCATTAACAGTGTAGCAAGTAAGTTAAGCGATTAATCGATAGAAAAAGGATAGCATGAACCTAACTCCACCAATGTTATTGGAGTTATATAGGGCGACTGACAACACCGCCGTCTATTCTCTACCGCCTCAACCACTATGTACAGCTTATGTCTCTGGCCCTTGCATACCCCACACCAACACTCGTGATATACTTAATGATGTATTTTATTCAGTCTAGAGTATATGTCGTGTTTCTATGCTATTAATATTGTTTATTATGTCAGATGAATTGTCATAGATAAATAAGTGGTAGAGTTGAATTAGTGTCATATTGAAGTATCTCCAAACTCTGCCACTGCCACAATTCCTAACATATATAATGACGTATTCTAAATATGATTGGGTCGCTGGGGATTCGCGAATGTTTGAAGCCCATGAAAGTGGAAAATGCGAATGTTGAGGGAAACCTGTATATCCTAAGTGGCACTATTGGCGCTGGGGAACAAATTGCGGATTAGAGAGCATAACAGTCCAAGTTTCAAACATGCTTTAAATTACTCGTAATATTAAAAAAAGGGGGGGGGGGGTATGGTATCCATTGTTTTATAAATTGCATTTTCAGTTCCCAAAGTTTTGGTGTAGCTCCATGGCATACAATGTTTATTTGTAAACTATTGTAGGGCTATGTGAAATTTTGCTTGTAAAGCTCTAGCATTGTCCAGTTAGTTCAGACTGAATAAAATGGCTAATGTCTCAAGAGATTAGATAAATGGGTAACAGAAAAGTGTTTGCTTCCCTATTTGTGGTTGCAGGGGTCAAGAGTGGATAAATGTTTAATAGAAAAAGAAGTTTGTAGTTGCAGTGGTCGATTATCAGATCCTGGCTCTGCTTAACCTGCCACTCTTCAGACTTGCTGCCTCTTAACCCCATTGGCCCTGTCTTAGCTGCACTTAAAACTATTTACAGAGCCTGCCTGCCTCCACGTCATCAATAAGATCATTCCACTTCGTAACCACTCTTGAGACTGAAGGAATAGTTCCTAACAACCCCTTTGTGCCTTTTAACTTAAAAGTAATATCCCCAATTTTATTTTTCCCTTCCCCATTTCCCAGAGCCTATTACCCCCTCTACCTTTATCAGTTCCCCCCCCCCCCTTTTTTTTTGTCATGGTTTTTGTCTTCCAGTTTCCATTAGGTCCAGTTCTGTTACTCTCGTATCTCATGCTCCTTAGTATATGGTATATAAAGTATATAATATATGGTATATAAAGGTTCCTTAATGGCTCATTGTTGAAGTTCCTGGAGGCTTCTTTTAGATTTGCCTGACAAGCATTGGTTACAGAGGTTATTCGGCAGAGTGAACCTCTGGCATTATACTGGTAACTATGTTCACACCTAGGTTTGTCGTTGGGTGGTTTACTGTTCTGTCCCCTTAGTCTATGCCCCATTTCTGGTCTTGCTTCTGCCCCCAATCTTCATGAACTTGTGTTTACTGGAGTTGAATTGAAGCAACCACCTGTCTGACCACGTGCAATTTCAGATCCCTTTGTAGTCTTTCCTTATTTTTCTTTTAGTTTTGCATCAGTAAATAGATGCATCTAAATTAATCCCATCCCATCTGGTATGCCATTCACACCTAAAACAGTACTGGCCTTAATGCTGATCCTTGTAGAACTGTGGGACTGGAGTAGTCTCTTATTCCTGCCTGAATCTTGAGGTTTTTGTCCCAGCCTCTTGTGGGGGTTCAATAGCAATTTTTAGTTGTATATGTGCATTTTTTTCTGAGCATTTTTTCATAGTGGATTTGGGTACCTTTTTTTTTATTGTATTATAATTTTTTTTTTCTAAAGTTTGGTTTGTTTAAAACAATGTTAGTGTAAACCCACTGTAGGACTTCCAGGACTGAATTTGTTGGCATACCTTAATTAATCTGCTGGATTGAGTCAAGTGGGCCTTAGAGAAATTTTTTGTCCTGTGACCTTACAAAGCTTTGTTATGGTTCCTGACTTCTCCATTACTTTGTGAAGAGACCCATCTTTTGTTGGGCTGTGCTGATGTAGGTGTAATCTTCCATCCTGCCATTTATTCCTTTACCCATTCATCCTCTGCATCATCCCTTCCCCCCTCCTTTCTCGTAGGCACTGCATAAACCTTACAGGCTTAGTGCTGCACAAAGAAATGTGCTTATAATGCCCCCTTCCTGTCATCTACCCCCCCCCCCTTTATTAAGTCTTTCCCCTATTCTGCATTCATCTGCCTGCCATTATCTTAAATTCTTTCCATATTATAGGCAGAATTGAACTTCTGTTGGATGACCGCCCCACTGCTTTGGTTCAATGAAAAGGTTTCTTTAAACCTGGGTACATCCATGTTTGCAAATATAGAGGATTCATTATATTCGTGGGGAAACTGAACTCGGTGGGGGCTGTGTGTGCTGATGAATGGAAGGTAATAGGTTTCGTCCAAGGAATGATAGAGTAGCTCCAATTCCTTATAGATCATGTCAACATTAAGGCACCTGCCTTGAAAGGCTGCATTTCTAGAGCCAAGGGTAAGGTTATTTGATCAGGTCCTTTGTTTTCAGGATTTGGTTTTTTAAAAGGTATGTAAGAGAAGGACTCGTTATTGCATGTTTAATAAATTTTGTTTGCAGATTAACAGAGAATTGAGGTGAGATTTGAATGTAGAGGTTCATAAAACCAAATTTAAAAATGGAAATTTTCATTTTTTAATTTGATGATCATTTCTTTTTCTTGCAGGTGGTAGTGGATATGGTGGTGGAATGGGCGGCGGCGGCGGCGGTGGAGGTGGTGGCGGTGGCGGTGGCTACAGCAACCTAGATGATGGACTTGGTAGTGGAATTGGGGGAGGAGGAGGAATGGGTAGCGGTATGGGTGGAGGCAGTGGTATGGGTGGAGGTAGTGGTATGGGTGGTGGTGGAATGGGTGGCGGTGGCATGGGTGGGGGTGGATTGGGCAGTGGAGGATTGGGTGGTGGTGGAGGCGGTGGAGGCATGGGTGGTGGATTAGGAAGTGGACTAGGAGGTATGGGAAGCAGCCTAAGTGGGGGTTTGGGGAGTAGCCTTTCAGGAAGTCTGAGTAGGGGTATGGGCAGTGGTTTAGGAAGTGGTTTGGGTAGTGGTTTGGGAAGTGGTTTGGGAAGTGGTAGTGGGGGAATGGGCGGTGGCAGTGGAGGAATGGGTGGCGGCAGTGGGGGGATGGGGGGCGGTGGTGGTGGAGGCAGCAGTAACTTCAGTAGCGGCTTCAACAATGGCTTCAACTCTAACAATGGTTTTGGCCCTGGTGACCAGATGTCTGGAAGCAACTACAACAGCTTCTGTTGAATCCTTGAATCTCCTGAATGATGAACATTTGAGGGAATGCTGATTAAAGTTTTTCTTGAACTTTTGAATAGACGGTAAAAGAAGTTTTCATGTTTGGTTTTATAATTTTGCTAATTAATTTATATTGTGTCATTACTTTGTGTAAGAGATGACTGTTAGGAAGAATGGCTTGCATGGTTTAGAGGTGGTATGCATTACTTTGAATGCAGTTTGTATCATTTTGGCCCCATGTGAATTATGTAGCACAGGTTACCTAGTTTTCTGGTGTGTCCCTGTCATGAAGTAGAAAGATGTTCACTGGTACCTGTCCTGCTGTGAGCTAGAACTATATATAAATATATTTTCTTGATATTATTTGGTGTGACATTCCATTTGAAACAAAGTTGGATGCTTAATACCTTAAATTGTGACAGTGGGACAATTACAAATGTAATTTTAGACTGTATTCTTAAGATGTCAATAAAGTGACAAGTTTCATTTAGATTATATCTAATTCCTATATGCCTGCATAAAATAAAGTGACAAGTTAAATATATTGTATCTAATTATGAAATGCCTGTAATAGTTATATAGGTTATACAGTTGACTTCCTCGTAGCTGTACAAACTTGGTATGCTTAAAATTATTCTTCCTTGATAAGCAGCTAACGATATTGAAAGTTACTTTGCAAAATATTCATCAATGTACAAGCTTTTATTAGTATGACACTAATTTATTAAGGACAGTTGAAATTGTGTAAATAAAGTACTGAAGGAGCATTATATTTAATACATCCTCAGTGGAGGTGGCTTGATGCTGAGGGGATCTTGATCCAAGGAATTTGTCATCTCGCTTGGATCTAACTTGATTACCTCCCTTTTCTCCAGGTGTGGGATGACTCCTAAGAGTTGAGCATTTCCTGCCATAAATTTAAATTAATACTGATAATTACCAGGTTTAGTTTGTGTGTTATGTGAATCTTCCCTCAAGGGAGGTTTCCTTGATGCTGGCGAGGGGATCTTGGTCCAAGGAATGAACTTTTACTCATTATACTAGGCACTATGATTAGGCAATTATAATTTGTGAATAATTTACTGGTAAAGAGCTCTTGTTTCTGTAATCCTGGTGAAGGGCTCTTTTTTCCACAGGCACTACTAGAATGAGGTTAACCCTCTTTCAAATGAATCTTGATCCAGTGCCCTTTTAAGGTAGCTTGCTGTATGACATGGAGTTAAGTACTACTTTATCAAGGGAGATATCTTATTACTAGTGAGGGGCTGTTCAACTAAGTAATTAATGTTCCTTCAGTAGAACCTGATTGCTTCCCATCATCTAGGTGCTATAACTTGAATGATTTTAGTGCTTGGAAATGGGTGCCATTGTTGGTAAAGGTCTTCATCCAAACTTGATATTTTCATTGGGTGTGGGTGTGGGGGGGTGCTAATTCTTTATGAATCAGAGCTCGTGGGAAAATGGTAGGCAAACTTTTACTCCAACGATGGTGAGGTCAGGTAAAATTCTTTGCTGGTCCTTGGTATTGAGGAACTTTACTTGAGGAAATCCAGGCCTGTGTAAATTGTGAAAGAGGCAGAGGTGCCTAGTAATGTGAGGCGTTAGATCTAAGGAACTAATTTCAATGGATCAAACCCAATTTCCTCCCTTTCCCTTAATACTAGGTGACTTTCGGATTTAGCGCTCCGTGGAGATTTCTATCTAAATACATCAAATGAATGATGCTGGTAAAGGAATCTTGTTCTAATGGACCTGACCTTTCTTTCCTTTGAGTAAATCTGATTGCCTCCCATTTCCTCGGGTGCTGTATGGCTCCTACAGGTCATGCAGCACCCATAAATGTAATGACTGAAGACTATGCAAGGAAATTAGGTGGTGGTCCCTCTCAGTGAAGATGCCTGTGTGTTGGCGAGGCTCTTGATCCAAAGAACTGAACTTATCCACTGGATTGAACTGGAATGCCTCCCATTCCCCAGGTGCTGTGATCCCTATGGGTTTAGTGCTTCCCCTTGACTGAAAAATGCAAGTATACACTAATGCTGGAGTGTTACGCACGTACACCTATTGCAGGCTTATACAGTTGTGCAGGTACTCTAATGTAGGAGTGATACAGAAGTGTCATGGAAGTACTACTGTAGGAGCATTGTGCTGGTCCATTATGGCAGGAGTACACTACGGCAGGCATGGTTGTATGACCCTTGTGGGTTTAGTTTATGATTATAATACGGCAGGTATGTAATGCAACCCGAAAGGGTCATACAGCGCTGCAGGGTGTGCAAGAGAGGATTAGAGGAGACTGGAGAGTTTTACATTAAAATATAATCCACGTTAATGCAACAAGTTAAAAGAAATCATTAGAGAATATTCGTCCAAGAAGGGACCAAAACTGACCCAAAGGTGAACTGGGTGCATCGTTCAAAAGGGTCTTCGGGTACCAATTCTGATAAAGGTATCTGCCTTAAAATTTAGTATCTATCCGTATCAGCAATTTTTTTTCATAGCGTAGTCACTAGTTATTAAACCCGTGTCTGAAAATTTTAATATTTCTACCTTCCGTCCGTTTAAAAATAGGCATCGTCTTTATGCTGGTGCAGGACTTGATTCATGGAAATGGAACAGTTTTGCCCTTACTTGAAACAAAATAATTTGGACTAGACCCATTTGTGTCCTTCAGTCCTCTTCCCCAGGATGAGACGCACAAAGTCTGCTCCCAGGTACCTACATGCTACTCGGTGAACAGATATAAGTAAAACTTCACGGATGCATACACTTAGTGTACGCATTAGTAGTTGACCTTAATGCTACGTATATGCCCTTCCATTCAGGAAAGCTTCCTTTATACTGGCGAGGGTCTCTTGTGTTCCGAAATATTGGACCTGTGCGCCAGTTCATTGAATGAGTCAATTTCTTGTATGCCTCCAGGCGTTCAATGAAACCATTTGGTGGTTTAGCTTTCTCTCATGGATGCTGGTTCTTCAGATACGAGCAGAAGGCACGACCACTTGATTACCTCGCGTTCCTCAAGTGCTGGATGTATGATCCTTTACGGGTTTAACGCTTCGAAGTTAATGTATATCCTGATTGCATGGGAACTCTGTTAATTCGTCGAAAACATCTGGTTCGATCCAATGAAGAGAGCAGCTACATTTCTTTGGCTCGAGAACCTGGCTGACTATGAGTTTTGCTCCTGAACTGAGCTCGTGTAATATTTTATTAAATAAAATAATCATATTATCTATACTCCGGGAAGAGTTGTATTTGTGCCAAAATTTACTTTGGGAAATATTAGTAAAAGAATAATAGTTTTATTTCGGAATGAGCGGTATGCTTAGTACCGAGTCGTGCGACGCCTGGCACACCCTAATAACGCAAATAAAGCCGTGTTATTTCCACATTTACCGCTGGCGGAGTAAGGTTATTTCACGTTCCGTTTCTCAACCATTTCCACAAACTTTGTACAAGCGTAACCCACCTAATATCGAACATTTTAAGAAATACATTATCGATCAACTCAGACCAGGACCTGAACTCAGTTACCCAAGATTCCTTCATGAGTACGAGGGGTGCCTACGATGAATGAGTTTCTCTAGACAAATACCCCACAAGGGAGGTTCCTTGATGCCGGTGAGGGGCTCTTGATTTTGGGAATTGGATCTGTGCTCCATTTCCCTGAATTAAGCCTGAATGCCTTCCATTCCCTCCCCCCACGTGCTGTATAATCCCTACGGGTTTAGCGCTCCCCCATGATAATCCAGTCAAATGAAAAGTAAGAAGAGTGAGCGCGCGCGCACAGGTGAGGCAATATTGCGCTTGGCGTTATCGCAGCGCATTACCCACAATGCCAGCAGTCGGCCATATTGAATGGTGCACCATGGCTGGTGGAATATATCTCTGAACACTCTTCTCATCTTCACTCACTTCAGGGGCTTACCCACACGTGAATTGTTAACAGATATTTTAGATTTGTTTCAAGACGGAGAAGAAAAGCATAGAAACGTATTTATCATCATGAGCTTCCTGTTGTAAGTAGACCTAGGGTTTGTTATGGTCGATCAGCTGATTCACCTAATGTAGGCTGGCAGGAACTTTATATGTACATAGATGGAATAATCTGCTCGTGGAAGAATTTTGGCAGTTTTCCGTTTGTACTATTCACGTAAAGATGTATATATATATTACTGTGTGCTATAAATAACGTTATATATTTTTAGAGGGAAACCTTGTCAGCAAAGTTCATGTTCTAATATTTTCCTGTTTCAGATTTGTCAGTTATTTTCAGCTTGTGAGGGAGTCTACTTTGTCTGATATTCTTACTTTTTAATCAAAAAGAAAAAA